CCGGGCGTGGTAGCGCACGCCTGTAGTTCCAGCTACTTGGAAGGCTGAGGCGGAAGGATCGCCGGAGCCCAGCGGGTCAAGGCTGCGGTGGCTGGGAGTGGCCACTGCACTCCAGTTTGGGTGACAGAGTGACTCCAACTCAAAAAAAAACCACCAAAAAAAACAGCTGACCTGCACCCGCTCTGTGCCAGACATCATTCTAGGCACTTAAAAAACACACAACAACCTTATTCTCACACAGAATTTTATCCAAAGGCTTATGGAAAGATGTCACTCATCTCTATCTTATACATGCAGAAACTGAGGCACAGAGAGGTTAAGTGACTCACCCACAGTCACACAACTAATAAACGGCAGGGCTGGAATTTAAGCCCAGGCAGGATGGATCCAAGTGCACACTCTTAACCCACTGCCTTTCCTGCTATATCAGTGACAGGAAGAGATGTGTCTAGTACCTCTAGGAAGAGAGGCGCTAGCACCATGCCTGGACAGGCTTGTTCAATCAACATTCACTCTTTTTTTTTTGAGTCAGAGAGTCTCACCGTCTCCCAGCAGTGGCACAATGATCATGGCTCACTGCAGCCTTGACCTTCTGAGTTCAGGTGATCCTTCCACCTCAGCCTCCTGAGTAGCAGGACTACCGGTGCATGCCACCACACCCAGCTAATTTTTTCATTTTTGTAGTGATAGGATCTTGCTGTGTTGCCCAGGCTGGTCTCAAACTCCTGAATTCAAGTCATCCTCCCGCTTCGGCCTCCCAAAGTGCTGGGATTGCAGGTGTGAGTCACCATGCCTGGTCAGCATTCACTCTTTATATTATCTTCACTTTTCAACAGACAGTGGAATCCTTAAGAATTCCACTATATTCAAATAAGGGCCTGTCTTATTCATCTACATTTACTGCTCCCAGGGCAAGAATGGGCGCACGATAGATGTTTGTTGACGGAAGGCATAAATATAGAGGAGGAGACTGAGGTCACAGTGGTCCAAAAGCCTGTCCAAGGTCACTAGGCTGTAAGTATGGGGCAGGACCAGCTCTGTGAGGCTGTGCTTGTCTTTATTCTGCCTGTTTGTGCCCAGCAAGCCCCTCCTATTAGCCTGTTTTGCTTAAAGGCCAGACTTGAGGGAGTGGGATAACTGGAATTGGGGCTGAGAGGCAGAAGCCAGGGCTCACAGCAAGTACGCACCGTTGCCTCCGCTACCTTCCAGATGCCAGTCGGACTCCACTGTGCCATGTCCAGAGCCTGTGGGGAAGGGCAGGGTCCAGAGAGTGGGCACAGATACCTGCGGGTGCTGCGTCCAGCCCCAGGGCCCCAGAGGGAGGCAGGTGGAGAGAAGCCAGGCCTAGTACCTTGCTGGCAGCGTGGGCCAGAGAAGCCAGGGAGACAGAGGCAGCGGGTGCCCTGGCAGGTGCCCCCATGCAGACAGGGCTCGCGGAGCTGGCAGGGGTTCTCCTCGTGTTCACAGAGGTCTCCTGTGTGCAGGGCAGAGCGGGTGGGAGGTGGGCATGGGCCGGACATGTCGCTGACCGCTGGGGCCCCCCGGCCCCCTGGAGGGGGGCTCTCCCACCTTTGAAGCCGTCTCGACACAGGCACTGAAACTCGTACTCGCCCGCGGGCATGCACGTAGCACCATGCTGGCAAGGCTGGCGCTCGCACGGGGAGCTGTCATAGCACTGTCCGATGCCCCGGCTACCCAGGAAGCTGTAGGTGAGGTCCAGCCGTTTGCCATTCACTGACACCTGTGGGCACAGGGGCACTGAGGGACTAAAGGGCTGTGGGAGGCAGAGGCCCCGGCAGAAGAACAAGCAGAGGGCAGCTGGGAGCCCAGGCTGGCGCTTGATTGGCAGCATGGGACTTAAGGAGGCAGGGAGGCACGGAAGTTAAGTGCCTACTGTGTGCCAGGAATATCCACCCGTGTGGTCGGTCCCCCGTCCCACCCTTCAGAGTGGGCGTTCTCATCCCCATTTTACAGAGGAGGAAACAGGCTCGGAGGTAAAGTGTCTGGACCCAGGGCCCTGGATTCACTGCAGGTGGAGGGCCCACGTGCACCCCCACCCCTGTCCTCTGGAGGATGCTCTCACCTCGCCCACACAGCCGTGGAAGTGTGCGCTCACGTTGGTGGCCGGGGACAGGGGCACTGAGGGCTCCACACCCCCCAGGTAGAGGAGGGTGTGCAGGTTGAGTCCCTGGCTCTTGCCGGGCGAGGAGCGCAGCACAGGGCGGCCACCATTCACCCGCAGGCTGCCGTCCTTGTTGAGGCGCTCAGCGGATATGCGGTGCCAGCGGCCCAGGGCGAGTGGCTCGGGGCTCCGCAGGACGGCCAGCCCTGGGGAGGACACCAGGCAGGGGTGGGCACATGGGCGCTCTGGCCCTGCCCTGCCATATACAGGGAACGGAGTAGACGGGGACCTCCCGATGGCCTGCTGGAATCCCAGAGGGAGCCCAAGGCTGAGAGAGGCCTAGGGACTTGACCAAGGCCACATGCAGAGAAGAAATGGGCAGGAGGAGGGACCTCGGTGGCCTGATTCCTGAACACCTCCCCTGGCCTCCCCGGGGCTCCGCAGGACAGTCAGCCTGCAGAGGGCACCACACTTGGCATCCCAAGGCCCCTCTGCATGTGGTGCCGGCGCTCACCTGACCCCAGCTCGTAACGAAACTCCAGGTGGCCTCCAGCCATCGCCAGGGACACAAAGTCTTCCACGGGCCCACTCCGGCCCCCACTGAACAGGAGGATCCCGTCGGGAGCGAGCGGCTTGAACTCCACGTCCAGGCGCAGCTCGTGGTGCGTGTTGGTGAGGGCAGGCAGTGCCAGGTAGGAGCCGGTGCCCGACAGGGAGGGCGTGGTCACTGTCACACCTGCGGCAGCCACAGCTCAGCAAGGGGACAACGGAGTCCCAGGGGTCCAGCTCCTCTGCCTTCCTCAGGGACCCATGCCCACCCCATCCTCTGGGCCCAGAGGCTCAGGACCAGCTGGGCACTAGATGCAGCAGCCCAGGAGTCACCGCCTTGCAGCAGGAGCTTCAGTACCATCGGTCCTAGAGGCCTTGCTAGGCGACTCAGGCTGGGCAGAAGCATGACTGGTGACTGAGATCCTCTGCCTCCGAACAGTTTTACCACCAGCAGGGTCCACTAGGCCCAGCTTCCCCAGCGACACTGGGACCCTGGGGGTCTCGGGCCTGGATCCACTTACCTTCCTCACACCTTGTCCCCGAGCGGCCCAGGTGACAACGGCAGGTGTAGCCTCGACCGTCTGGCCGGTTCACGCAGGTGGCATCGGGCCCACAGGCCTCTGAGGGCACAAGGACTGGTGAGGAGGACTCAGAGGTGACTCTGGAGGGGGTGGGGTCCTATCATACCCGGGATGAGGGCCAGGTCAGCCTGGGAAAGCTGCCCAAGAGACTGAGGGTAGGGGATGGATTGGATCGAGGAGGGGCCTGAGAAGATTGGCAGGGGACAGCAGGGGGAGTGACAAGCGATGTGTGTCTGTGGGCCCCTGACAGGCTGTGCCCGGGTAACAGTGTGGGGCGAGGCGCCCCTGGTGGCAGAACAGGGGTGAGTACCCACGTGGTATTATAGGATGGGGTGGGTACCGAGGAAGACGTGATGGGGCAGGGGTGCCTGTGGCCACAGTGGGGGTGGTTAAGTCCATGGCCAGCGGTGATGGAGGAGGGAGAGCAGCAGTGTGGGGTGGGGGGTCCC